CGCAGTTTGTATGTAAAACCTAAACATAAAAAAAATAATGGCGAGTTTCAGTTACTGATGGGTATAAAAATTTATTGAAAGAAGTAACGTTCGTGTACATCGTTGTACCCAGTTATAAATAAAGGATTTAACTTGCATGGTTTTTTTGTGAAATTCATAAAATATGAAATCATTTGGATCATTCAAGAGAATTTTTTAAATTTATTTTCTAAGAGGACACGTCATGGGTAAAGACTTAAATCTGCCCTAACTCTTTCATTCACAATACAAGATGGCCGCTATCTGGTGGAACACGGGAGCACAACCCGTGTCGTACAAGACTCTACCGCTACTGTTCCCCAAATTGATTGTACTATCGGTTCGCGTGCACCCCTCTATTACCAAGCGAGCCGGCGGCCAAACTCCTATCAGTTTTATATTAATTTCGTATAATATAATGCTTAACGCGAACTCCGCGGCACCGATCGGTCTAATCTCTTATCTCGGCGCCCGAAATGGAAATTTTCGGTCGCTGGATATCGGCTAGGTTAAAATATGGAAACATTATGCGCGCCATAAGCATTATGAATCCGTTTTTAAACTGGCTGTAAAATGCGTGGCGTTATTGTTGGCCGGGAGCGGACGAAGCGTCGAGCGTCCAGCGGTCTGTGGTGTCGCCGCCGAGTGAAATGTTCGGACACTGAGTGATTAGTGATTCCATCAGATAACGTTATGAACAAGGCGACGTGATGAGTGAATTTGTTTAATTCGGCTACTTTATCGCTATGAATAAAACATCGCTGACAAAGTAACGTATTCCTCGTCGAGGTGTTCCCGATCGTTTTTTGCTCGTTAGTCGTTTAAAAATACCTAAGTCGTTTTACCGCCATCACATACACTCTGTACACTCTATACGCTCTGTACACCCAGGTAGTACCTACTAAACATTTCAGAACAAAAGTTACAAAATCCTCGCGCTATCCACGCCTCACCAGACCTAGTCATAACGTTCACAGTACTGTATTTGAACCCCGGGACCTCGGGGACCGAATCTCAAACTTGACCATCTCGAACAATTGGGGATTGATGGGAATTGAACCAGGGACCTCGATAACCAACCCCACGTTCTAACACAAGGTCAGCACGAGCCCGGGTAGAGTCGCGCCCGGTGCACTGATTTCGAGCACTCACTGAAGCGGCAGTAATAGGATCGCTAATCCTGTGGTGATTTCGAGCATGGGACCTCCAGGTCTGGAAGGACAATGCATCTAACTGTTCATTGATGAAATACCTTAACATCTATCATTGGTTTTGGATCCTAGGTAGCCTAAATAGGTGTTCACAGTCTGAGTTAACAAAAACGTACTACTGTATTATAAATTTAAGTAATATGGTTCAATTTTGTTTTTTTAATTAAATTGTGCGTGTGAAACCATTGGCATTTTCAAAGAACCAACATTAGGTATATCTTTTGCATACTGACCCCGTTGCAAGGCATGGGTATAGTGCCTAGTTGTGATCTGACCTAGATCTGACGATGGGGACGGAGAACTATGGTGGTTTTAAAGGGTAAATTTGGGTTCCGTTTCCCTATTACTCTTTGCACATTTTTCAAAAATATTTTTGTATGGTTAAAATTTCAAATTATTCAAATTGAAAATTGATTCAAATAATTTAATTTATACGACAAAAATTCAAAACATCGTAAATCTAAAACTCTCAAGTTATTCTTTTGCAGAATAGGTTAACTGTTGTAGTTTGCTTGTTTTTGGAAATATTTGATCACATTTGAAAAATTGGCTTATTTCATCCTAAGCTTTTATTATTTTACTAAAAACCCCTCTAAATTACCTTTCCTGTGTCAGAAAAGTACTAAGTACGCGTTAAACGTAATGGTATCTAAATAGAGAATAAATCTGACATGTTTAAGGAGATATTTAAGTGTGAATGGAATAAATATTTGTTTATTTAACAATGAAAAATGAAATCCAATGTGGATGAAATTTGCTTAGTACATACAGCTTAGCTGCGCCGTGGATTTAAAAAAACCCTTCTAAATAAAAAAATGTGGAATAGCCTACATAATAAATAAAAATAAATATAATAATAAATAATCATAAGGTCGCCGGTTCGATCCTGAGAAAAGTCCGTAGCTTTTTGATGGTTTGAAACTGGACCCAGCTGTTCCTGATCATTGGGCTTTAAATAAATGATCCTGACTAATGAAACCGCTGATCTTAGTCGGTAACAAAGCTACTCTGGTCATCACACACCATTCTACACTCATCCTTCACTCATATTTGGGTTAAAATACGCACCTAGGTGGCGTCCCCATCTCAATGATTGATAATTGATAATATTTACACGCCTATTGCATTTTTAGTAATGATTCACACAAAGAAGGGTTTCAAAGGTACAGCACGTACGTTGTAAGGGACAAACCTGGAACGGCAGCGGTATGCAGCATATGACTTTATTACAAGAATGCGGGGCTTTCTGCGACTTCATTTCCATCCAGCCAGCATGCGAGAAACTCGCCATCTTCGCAGATTACTTGGTGGAGACATATATCGACAAGGATGATGCGTTTTTACCCACCACAGACACTGGCAGCTGCTTTTGCTGAGTTTTGTAGGACGATTAACTCGTGCGAGAGTTTCCACTAACGTTTCAACATGGGTTGTGCGTCGTCTCATCCAAACATTTTTGTTTTATGAAATATTTTCAAAGTGCCAAAACCGAAACGTACATACGACTGAACAGTTGCGTTGCGCAGAGAAGAAGCAAAGCAAAGGAAGATCGCCCTAGTACGGCAAAAGTTTATCGATTTGAAACTAAAACAACTGAGGGACTCGCACATTAATTTGTTAACTTTTGTCAAGTGTGTAGGCCACAAGGTCAGGAAATAAATGTGGTAGTTTGATTTGAATTTGTTTCTCATCTTTCCCTATTTAATCATCCTTAAACCTAGGAAGGCCAAATGCTCGAAATCACCATAGGATTAGGGAACCCATTATTGCCGCTTCAATGCAATGCTCGATTTCACCGCGTTTTGGGTTTTCGTGCTCGAAATCAGTGCGCCCGTCGCGCCGCACTACACTACGAGCGATGCGCGTTGTATTTGTATCACGTTCGCCGCGTGTGATAGGGGCGCGTGGATGTGACGTGCTACTATTGTCACCTGAATGACAAGACAACCTCACCACATCTACATACCTGATAGTCCTGATACTGACCACAGGTGACAATGTCAACATCTGCCGCAGCAACACCTTGCCACCTCCGACACCATCAAAACCGCAACTCGCACACCAGACGTGACTTTGTCTTCCACACCCGCTTAGTATAATGTACAACGAGAAAATAACAGTCCTGAGTTAGCATTTCAGAACTTTCTTCTTTTATGTTTATGACCCGGTATGGATCATAAACATAAACAAATTACGTTTTTGGCGAGAAAGTAAATAATTTTCTAGTATTTGTAGTATTCTATAAATTGAAGTTGAAGGAGTAGACCAAATTTTTGGTAACTATTGTAATTGACGAATAGTTACATTGTTTTGATATTGGCTTTACTTTCAATGAATTTGTTAGTCCTTAAGCGATTGTTTCCATATAAAACTCCTGACAACCTAGTAGAAACCGACAAAAAGACAAACGCCAACACTTTATAAAAAGCATTGTTTACCATAATAAAGATGTTCTCAGGCTTTCATCCGGGAACTTCATTATTAATTTGATAGCCTAAAAACTACATATCTGCTTTTTATACGCGTTTCTAGCTGCTTATCATAATAATGTCGTAGCGGACGTTGAAGTCGTGCATAATTGGCGCTGATTTCATCTCGACCAAATTTTGAACGGAGCGGCAGCCGCCCCTGGCCACGGCTACTACTTTACATAAAGTTTTAACATAATGCTGGTTACGAAAACCAGCCACTGCGAGAGTGTAAGCCACTGTTTTGTTCGTGACACCAATAAATTAGGAAGTTGAATTACAATGGAGATAGATTAACCATGGGGTATTGAGTTGGCGAGGATGCCAAAACATCACTGTTTAGATCAGAAATTCCATTTTTCGGGTAATTTTATAACACTCAAATGTCAGAACAAACCTCATCTGGCAACTTGCCAACTTGGTGATGGTATTGTTCATGTATTAAAACAACTACAAGGGGTTTCCGTAGATATAGGTGTCGTCCACCAAGCTCATGTCGCACAACCCTGAGCTAGTTCAAAACCAAAGACCCAGATTGTTCTTGCTTCATTCACTCGTAGCTGTTTCCCAAGGGACTAACAAACTGGCCATAGTATTACGAACTTCCTGAAAGAAAATGTACGCTTCTGCTCTGTGGTACTTGCCAGAACCACAGAACTCCCTGTGGTTCTGTGGTTGAATTTCTGTAGCGTGATTACTATTCGCTTGTAATTGGCGGATAAGTATGTAGAAAAGTGGTTCGACGTAGCGAATTTACATTGATGACTTGGGGATTGCGTATAAGCCTGTGCATATTTGCACAACGTAGCCAGCAGCGGGTGTTAAACAGTTTCCACCGAGACAGTTATTGAGTGTGAGGAAACTTGACATGCAAATCGGCATTCTTCAGATTTCCAGGACTGACCGTAGTCCTTAGGAGTATTATGGGGTTATTTCATAACTATGTGTAACCATTTCCCCAACGGATAAACGAATTGGGAATAGTTACAATAATATGCATACAAATCAATTCTCAGATACAGTTCTCAGGAAGGATGAAGAGTGGGTAGACTCGAGATAGTTACGAGATCTACTGTCGGCAAGGAGTTTAGGAAAGATGGGGACAAGGAAAGTTAGGGACATACTACAAAGTTGCCGTGGTTCATCAACGACACAGTCAACTGCCTCAACCACAAGCACGCAACAACGGCGAGTCACAGTCGCAACACGTAGCTGGAATGTTATCATTACTGCCCTTCCAAGCTCCCTTAACGTTTATTTTGTTTAACATGTCATAAAAATGTTGTTTATGCTCGCGTTTATGTTAAAATATGCAAGGAGTGTCCGAGATAAGAGGCTGTGTGGTATTATTTATACGGAAGCCAGCCACGACGCTACTGACTGTCGCGGCTGTATGTGCTCTCTCTCTCTCTCTCTCTCGCTCTCTCGCACTCACTGCATTGGCTACCAAACCATGAAAGGAACTACATTGAGTTGTTTAAATCGTTGTTATTACCTCGCTATCTCTCTCTCACACATCATCCAACAAAATGATCCAACTCAACACCTAGTCAAGCCCATAGCGCTTCAGAGGTATAGAAGTCTCCAAACGTTATGAAATATACCTTAGCTTCAGAGAATCCCGCTTTTTTCTAAAACTCCGTTCTTTCAATTGTTCCCAAAACAGTAAGTTACACAGACCACTGGTGTGTTATTAGGTGAAGTGATACTTTATTCTACTTTAAATAATTAAACCTTAACAATAGCAATAGAAAATATACTTACGCCCTAAACAGAGAAGTGACGTTCCGCCAAGGCACAGAGTTGAAGTCGGCGAAGAAAACACGCCATGGAACATAGTAAACAACAGTATTAACACAAAATACCAAATGTCAATATTTGTTATAAAACAACACTAATGCCATAACGATTTCATTAATTATTTAGTGATTGGTCTTTATAAACTGAAGAATACATAAATAGGCCAATTCATTACTTGAAAATCTACTACAAGTAAACAAGGGCGGAAACGTTCCCAAAAACACGTAAAATCAGCAGACCATAAAAATAGCACAATACAAATGCGCATTTCAATCCACGTTGAATTTCAAATTTTTTCGCTGTTAATTAAAAATCTAGTTAATTAACGACCTCGCTGAAAGAATGAAACTTTAACTACCCAAAAAAGGCTGTTTGATAACAAAACGAGGGCCAAATCTGAAAAACTAACAATGGTAAGTGAGCGATCAGCTGATAAGAGCCCTGCGTGTGTGTGTGCGTGTCGGAGTGTTATCTATCACTGTTAGATCAGCTGACCGTCTCCGTGTGAAGTCTTTAATTGCCCGCCACGCGGAAATGTGAAGTTTCTCGCTGAAAATATGGAATTCAGATGTTTTAAGAAGGTGAAATTTATATGAGAATCGAGACGCGGAACTGATAGGACTTCAACGAGGTCGTGTGTGTTTGGAGGTGGAAAATACGAATTGTGAGATGGTGTTTAGTTGATATGTTCAGTTGGTGTCCACACAGCTGTTCGGTTGAAATATAAAATTTAATGATTAGAGACCTAAGAGCCCAAGGAGGTCATATGATAGTAAATGCAAACAACTAAAAAGTTAAGTATTAGCTATATTAGCAAAGAGAAAAGCAGAACTGTAAAATTTACTCAGCTGGTAATAAAAAAATACAGGGATACCAAAATGTCATGGTACTTGTAATTTAGGTTGCGTTTAAAAACCCCTGTACAACAAGTAATTAAAGGTTAGATCCTATTTATTTTTATAGGTGGGTTAGCAATTCTTTCGGAACGATGTTTTTCATCAGTTTTGCCAATAGACGTGTACATAACATACCTAAATTTAAAATGTTCCCTTTAAAACTTATTAACACATTTTTCAATTGTACACAAGTAATAGCAATTGTAAAACAACTTTTCGTTGGTCGTTAAGCACAATCATCGATTAAATGCTAAGACAAATCTCAATATTTCAATCGGCAAGCGGACTGCTGTAAGAAACCATAAATCGCGGTCAGCTAGAGGACTAACAATTATAACTGAAGTGACAACTGTGCGGTAATATAAGTCAAGTGTTCGCGGAACACAGAACACACACTGTGCCAAGAGAGAATGTGAAAACAAAACAATAGTGGAGTAGTGGCTAAGTGGTTGGTAAAGAGACAATGACACATTGGTGGACAAAGAATGGACAGTAAAACGTAAGAGGAATGACTTGGTGGTAGAAGAGACAAGTAGATGGAGCAATGTATGAGTAACAGCAATTGATATGTAGTCAATGGTGGAGGGAAAACAATAAAACTTAAGTAAGGAAATAGATCGGTTGTATGAGAAGAGTCGGTAAAGCGTCAGAAGGGTATATGTACGTGTTACTAGAGACAGTAAAATAGAGGCGAAGAAATAAAAAATTATAGAAGCAGAGAAAATCAAATAAAACCCGAAAAACGGCTTGGTAAGTACAGTAGGGACCAAGAGACAATCTATTGAAGGAAATCCATCATGCAAGCGTCTAGCTCTTCGTATTGACGCTGTATTCCAGAGGTGGACTTTTGGTTTGACACTAATTTTCAAATTTGCACTGGCAATCTTTTTAATTCTACGCCAATTTTCACTAAGGGTAAAACAAGGATGTTAAAAACAAGAAAACTAAATCATGCTAATGAGTAGAGGGAGAGCTAAAAAAAATGAAGTGTATGTTAAAATTACCTTTACCTACGACCGTTTTTTAAAGTAGTCATTTCAGTTCAGTTCTTAGAATTGAAAAGTTTCACTTAACAGCTGTTAACTTTCATATCAGCATAGTTTCATTTCATATCAGCATAGTTTTTCTCATTTCAACACGGGTAACGAGGTTCAATGAGTCCAATGACCAATGAGGTTCAAGGATTGAGAGAAAAGAAGTACAATTGTAATACTTCAAACGTGAGATAGAAATGACAGCACAAACTGTTTGTGCTAATCTTTTGCCACCAAAATCAAAACAAAGGTACCATATGCAATTACATACCATAAATTCATTAAATGGACGAAACAAAATTCTGTTAAATTGATAAATGAAAATGTTCTTCTGGTTTGTTTTGAAAACCTCTTAACCACTTTTTCACCCAACTCGTTGTGGACCACATATTCGATGCTGAGATCTAACTGTAAATTAACTGTTTCACTAGATTATTCAGTTGTCCAAAAATATATGCAATATTTCCCAAATTGTACCTGATACAGTATTTATGGTAAGAATGCTGCTAGCAGAACCTATTGCCTGAAAAAGTAACGTATTATTTAACAAAGTTTTACAAACACGTAATTACATTAAATCAGCTGATTATACAATAAGTCGTTGCATCACTTTCAGTGACAATGACAATAAACGAAAACATAACCTCTCTAGGAAGTTATGAGTAGTGATTGTTAGTAATAAAAAACCAGAATTTTAGTAATTAAAAAACGGTCGTAGGTAAAGTAGTGTACGCAACTCGCGTTAATAGTCTTTACCTAACCCGCCATGTTAAACTTCCCTATCCCAAGCGTGATGAATACAACTTCCTTACTTCTCGAGTGATGTAAAGTATCGAAAACTCACTCGGTGATGTAAAGAAATCCATTTAAATAACATTGAGTGCATAACTTAAAAAAATATACCTCTATGGAGCCAACGACGTTCAACGCTAGAAATCAGATGTGCGCTTGAATGTTATTGTTATGCTTTAAAGTATTTTCCTAACCTAGCTTTTGTTTGTAAAAGAACGTTACTGTTAGAAGATGAGTGAAATGGATAATGATGAAAAATATTGTACGTAAACCCATGTATATTGTCGGGTCAGGTAAAATCTTGTACGTTACACGTTACGCAAGAGCGTGTAAAACATCACTTAGGTGAATTATGCAACTCGCTTCCGCTCGTTGCACAACATTCACCTGCGTGATGTAAAAACGCTCTTACTACACTTGTAATGTAAATAGCTATTACGACACTCGTAGAAGTTTTTACGGCACTCGCCAAGGCTCGTGCCTTAAATTTTCTACTCGAGTCGTAAAGACTAACTTAACGCAATCGTTGCGTAAACTACTATTACGTTGTAATTAATCTAATATAAGTACACTAGTAATTTTATTATAAGTTTTCGTCTTATTGTACTCTGATCTGTAAACCACATAAAAAGTAAGCGATTCAAGTGATTTATTTTCGTAGAATTATCTTTATAATACTTTTAAAAAAGTTGTTTAAGATTTCGGAACAGTTTTACGTTTGCAGTTGCCCTAAAACGTAAAGATTTTTAAATTTTATTGCCAAGTATGGTTAACCTCAAAATAGGCAATAAAATTGGTTTTGAAAAGTGCAACCTATGTATCCTTTAAAAATATAACAACTGAACTTGTTAAACTAATATTAGTTACCTGAAAGACATTCCAACAACAATAACAACACCATTGACAAGAACGCTACTTCAAACCCCCTTAAACATCACACTTGGTGCCATGATGGTACCCAACAATTTGTCGAATAGAAATACATCTCAAGTAGAAGTCCACTGCAATTTTCACTGAGGTATCATGTTACTGCTCCTTCCAGCGAGTGCACAATGTGCGCAAGCTCAGTATTGAATTACTTGTGCTGTACCCCACTAAAAATCTTTACGTTATTAACAGCAGGTTTTAGCTTAAGAGGCTGATTTGTCACAGTAACTTATTGTTACTGTTGTTTAAATGAATATTCAAATATTGTTGTTGTATGAATATTGTTGTTTGGATGTGTATATACTGTACTTACGTTGACATCCTGCACCACCAAACAGCACATGAAACAGAACAATTAATATCATTAGCAAAATAATACACACAAGTAACACCAATTATAACTTAGATCAAATGTAAAACTTAGGTGATTAATGAAGGGCTTCAAAATCGAAATAGAGAAATATTTTAAGTCTCTATTAGAAGCTGTAATGAATTTATACTATTTATGAAAAAGTTAAAAATAACAATGAAGATAGTATTTTTTTATTTCACACTTAAGCTAGGTTTTCCTAGGCGCGGATTCGGCGAGCGGAGAGAGGAACGCGGAGAGCAGAATTGAAATTAAAATGGCATTCCGCTCCGCTTCTAAGAAAACAGTAACATTAAATTGCCTAAGACAAGTGGAGTCCGCTCTCCGCGTTCCTCTCTCCGCTCGCCGATTCCGCGCCTAGGAAAACCCGGCTTTACTGTGAATGTTTATAAAGTGCATACAAAAGGAACAGCACATCATTCATTAGTTATGTAAAGTATAAAACAGGTTAAATATAGCAAAGCTTGTACTCCTACAGACAGCATGTACTTCTGACCAATGTTCGATTTCGTTCTGACACACTTTTATCTAACACGATCTGTGCACGATGTACTGTATTTCTCCATTTTTTTACGAATGCCTGTATTTAAAAGCAAGGTGTACTTAAATCAGGAAGCTATATAATACGTTAATGATAGCCACACAATGATAGATCTTATAATAAGGACCAAATTAAATGTACATGAAAACATTGACTGATAAGCTGACATACGCCTAATTGTGACAACGGTATTGACACGATCGTTGCAACGGTGACCTGGTTGTCACTGTTCCCACGACTGGTTACTGTCGCTGTTACTCGGTCGCCGGAGTGAAACATCAAGTTGTGAGAAACTCTCACTTTAGTTGGGCCTAATTAGTAGAAAGTAAATAAAAAAAATTCAAACGTCAATAATAAAAAAAAATCACTTATTTAGGTACACACTCACGGTCTTTGGATCTCTCTAGCATATACAGTATTCAGGATGAAATTTTATAGTTGTTACTGTGGTGGATTACTATTTTGCTCGATCGAGTGTATGCCTTTTCTGATATACTGTTATGGTAGAAATAAATAAGATATCAACCATTAACGCAAAATACTATTGCCTTTCGATTGCTTAAAAAAATCGCAGCAACTTGATAATAAGCACGGAGCACATTTCTACAGTCACTTAGTCTAGGTCAATGCTATAAGCAATAAGCATATTTGTGTGCGACCTGTCTTAGTTTTAACATAGATTAAAGGAGTAGACATACTCCTTTTATCTATGGTTTTACGATGTGTTGAAAGAGACTTACTTTTAACACCGAAACGTCATTAAATAGTAACACTAAATGCCAACCACAAGTTTTCGGCACCAAATTAAAACTTACAACCCAACAAAATCATAACATCAGTAATACCCCAATCAAATCTGCAATTTTCCACCTGCTCATCGGAAGTCCCCGTTCAACACCGTCTTCTACCGCCAAACATAATCGCACCCGACTTAATCAACATCATCGGAAGCCGGCGATCAAGTAGAGTAAACGAAATAGAGTTGCTACAATCAACAATAAGTGGCAGACGTAGAAACATTATCGTTAACATCGCTGCGCTGTTACGGCAGCTACATTAAACATCGCTTTGGAGCGTGCTACTGGAGCAACGCAGCGCAGCGTCGTCCTATTAAACAGCCATTATCACAGACCGGGCGACGGACGACGGGGTTCACCGACGTCCTTGTTTACACTAATCTGTTTACAAAATTCCCGCGTCCGATTGCTCCGAATAATTGAAAACTTTAAATGGCGGATAACGAGCGAGGGCCGCATAATAACACGCGTTTACACCGCGTTCAGATTGAATCCGTCCGACAAATTGGACCGTCCGAGGAAAATAGTTTATTTAAAATTATAAATAATAAAAAATAATCGCACCGTTCGGGAAAATTGAGCTATTACGCGTTGATTTATTTCTTCATAAGCTCGTTCGTAATGATTCACCGTTTACCGAGGCCGGTTTTCACTTAAATAGCGGCAAATTGTCGTGGTTTGCGGGCGCCGCTGTTATAATGTAGAAACTGTTCGGACCGTTGTAGAGTGACGTCCGCCACAAGCTGGTGTTACTGTAAAATCACAACCGATCGAGCAGTTGTTCCTATTGGCATATTGGTTGGAACGCATACAAAACCAAACAGAATTGTCTTCCTTGTTTCTCTTCTGGGATGGTTCGTCAGCGACCGACGGTCTGTCGTTGGGCACCAAAAGATAATGTCAATCTGTTAGAGTTTTGCGGCATTATAACTTTATTTTCCTGTACTCTGTGTGTTTTTCTGAAAAGGTTTGAGAATCAACGGTTTCAGGGGTTTAACAAATTCTGTGGTCCATCGAAGGAGGTGGTAGCCAAACTAAGAAAACAGTACATGCTAAAGAATGTTTCGGTAGTAGAAATCAACAGGATTCGAAGACCGTGTCTCCTAACACATGATTTCTTTAATCATTTTAAGTTGTGATTTTTTTTTTTTTTTTATTTGTTTATTATTTAAAATCTAAAATACCTGTCTACTGCCTGAGTGATGAGACAATACATTTCAAAACTACTCAATACATAAACATAGATATTATAATAACTGAATAACAGGAGAATATCTCAAAAGTAACGTATCCGAATCGTCGGCTAGTGTTTTCGCCATTTCAACAACCTTCCTGATAATTTCTCCCGAAGACAAAATATTCGACGTCTACTTTGGTCGTGGAATCCTAGAGTGCAAATTGATAGTAAAACATGCAAAACATGTGTAACGTTTATTACAACAATTGACATTGAAAGGCAAATTGCAAAATGTGAACACAAACACTGTTTAACATTAATGTTGTCCAACATCTTGCAGCTAACCGAGACAAAAGGACGGCAAATGGTCGGTATAAGCCTGTCCCAGCACAGGTGCGTACCGCATTCTGACCAGACAGAAATATATTATAAACGGGTGCACCGCTGGAGCCCGCTCCTGTCTTCATACCACACCGTCTACCCAATAACTCTATTGCCCACATGCATTCTTTACATGGCTGCTTCATCAAGGGATGGTTGTGCACAAAATATTATAAAATGTCATATTTGTAACAATAAATCACTACCACTAGCATGTTGACATTTGCCGTCAGTCAATTCCCGTTAAAAATATCATCACTTCAACATACTCAAGAGTCAAATTATGAAAAATCTTTAAAGATAAGTTTGATTAATCTTAATATTGATTCCGAACGATTTTGAAGCAATTTGATGAATTATGAGTAATAAGGCGAAGGCAGGAAGATATTTAAGAGGATTTAATAAACTATGTAGGCTACCAGCAAAATAGGAATAAAACTTAAAAAACTTTATTTCGTACTGTGTTTATGAGTTTACAGGTAAAGTTGAGTTTAATCCCCTTGAATATTCTCCATAATACCGTTGTGTTCACTAAAGGTCGTTATTGAATTGTGTAGAAATCCCCAAGTACACCAGAGAAAGGGGTTTTATAGCGAGTCTCCTAGAGGTTCTGTTAAGCCTCGTCCACACATGGCGATTTGTCTGCGGAAACATTGTCTGCCGACTGTCTCCGGAGTGTTGCTATTTTGTCTCCAGTATGTCGGCCGACTGTCGGCAGACAAATTTCGGTGTTTCTGGAGACAAAATACGGAGACGAGAGACAAGACTTTTGTCTCAAGGCTGCATGTGTGGACGTGTCTGAAGACAGGATACTGGATACAAGCCGAAGGTGTTTAACATTCAGCCCATTTAGGTAGACTACAAAGGGGTAATATTACGATTTTTGGGTGGTATTAAAAGAGCTGGATTGAGTTTCTTGAAAGTTTTGGAATTAGTTTCACTGATTTATATCATTATATGACATTTGATTGAATTGCTCATCTCTTGAAGTTTTAAATCTTAAGACCAACAAAGCCCAGCAAAATTTCAAAATCTTAAGAACTCAACCTCATGAAGTTGCTCCACCTAATCTGAAATTCTGATAGAAGATTGTGAGCATAGTACGAACCTTGCTCGAGAAAATGTTGGGTCCATGATCGTCTCTTCCTAGATTCATTAGGCCCATGATTCAGAAAAATGAAGCCCGCACAGAATATAATTACGTCCTCCTCGGTCACCATACCAACAAACATGGAAACACTGACTGGCTAGTGTGGACGCAAAACACATCGGAAACTTGGACAGTCGGCAGACAGTCGGCCGACTCAGTCTCCATGTGTGGACTAGGTTTTATAGAATGTGTAGAAGCTGACAATTAATCTTCGTATGCGTTGCTCCTGTATTAATTAAGAGATGGGCCCGTGCTGTAGTTGTGTATTTAAATATATCTCAAAACTCGTCTCTCTTCGAAGCTTAAAAACTAACATCTAAGAAAAACGCTGTCATAAACATAGTCTGTGTGTAAAAATGTTTGTTCAAAACAATTATAATATTAATAACAATACTATTAAAATAATTTTGATTGTACATCTGTTATCATAAAAGAGTTAAAGATATTTACCTCTCTGAATCAAGCTATAATTATCGATAAAACTAGCCTACTTAAATGTCACTTCCAAAAACTGCGTTGTGACTTGTTTGCGAATTAACTATTAAAAGTCCAACTGAAGGTATTAACTGTTAGAGCTGTTAAATTACAATTCAAATCAAGTTGTTGAGCAAAACATGAACAGTTGAAGGCACATTCTAGGAACAAATCAAAGCCAAGGGGGAATAACCCTAAAGTAAATTATCTATTTAATTGTAATTCGTCCCTGCGCTAGATCATAAGCATTAAAAAGACACCTCAATCGTTGAAATCGGTTAAGGAGAATTGATGAAAAGATGGTGTTACAGATAAACTCCTTATTGCATTATGTGTATAGAAGATAATATGCAATTTGTATACAAATAAAAAAATCCGCTGTTTTAAAAGTCTATTATCGAAATTTTATAGGAGTGCTCAAATGCCTAGACG